GTTGTTGTTTTTTTTTTCGTGGGGGGGGGGGGTGGTGAGAGTTTTGGCTAATTTTAACTCATCCAATTCTGTGTTGCCAATTCACTTGAATAGCTGTACAATTATATACCAGATTGTTGTGACTTTTTAGTGAACTTTCTAGGACAGGTCTTATTTAGCAGTATTCATGACCTATCCCATCAATCCTCCTTATATTAATAATGGCCTATTGAAAATTGTAATGCACGTAAGCCCTGTGTTGATCTGGTCTAGTCTGAATTTTATGTTTATTAATTAACAAATGTGGAAGTTTGGTTTCAATTCAGCTACCATATACCATTAAGATCAACAGCTGTTAACGACTTATAATAACGATTTATAAAAATGCATACAACAGTAGGGCTATGAGCCGTATTATTGTTTGTAGTGTGAGCTGACATTTGACATTATACACATGGCGTTTTATTGTGATTAGTAAGGCATGATATTGTCGAAAGGTCTACAGATCCAACATGTCAGTGTAGGCTAGTTGAAATTGTTTTTAAAATCTTTGCTGAATGGATGGAATCAAATGAAATCAATCAAAATGACTTAATTAACAAAAATAATTATTTGCATATACACGGTTTGTTGAAAAAACATGCAAGTGTTTATTTTTGACTTACGAGGGCGTGCTGTAATATTACACGGATTTGCCACAAGCGATGGAGTTAAGAGTACGAATAATTTAGATCTAAACTTAATTCTCCAAATCAAGTCCAAGTAGGGGACTGGACTTACAGCTACAAACAAGAAATAAGTACCAAATTTATTTATTCCTATCTTAATCGTTATTTGAGTTTCATTATAAAACAAAGCATTAACGATGTAACAATAATAATAATAATAATAATAATAATAATAATAATAATAATAATAATAATAATAATAATAATAATAATATTATATTATTATTATATATATATATTATAATTATAACATAATAATAATAATATAGTTAGCGAGTTGTTTAATACAACAACTACTAGTCCACTACTGATACTATGCCTTACTTTTACTATCATGACCATGGTGGCGATGATGATGCCGACAGTGTTGAAAAGGATGTTAGTGTTGATATTAATAATAGTAATAATAATCCTTGTAATAGAATGTTAACTTTTAACTATTTGTATGCCAATTATTTTAAAAATACCCTTCATCTATCCTATACAATATACTTTTTATAAATTTGTATTATCATTTGCTTAATTGTTAACATTGATTGTTTTATTGAACACAGTTCGTCGCGCATCCATTCTGTCAGCAGTATTTGACGGAGACATGGTTCCGAGATTTACGGATCCACCGGAGTCAAAGCAGCGTCAAGACGCTCCTGTTTACCTTGTCAGCAGCCATATTGTTTCCCGTATTATCAGTAGCCAACGTGCTTTCCCGAAATTGGAAACTTGGCAAGTGGATCGAGATCCCGTATATCAAGTTCATCTGCCATTCGGCGTCCCAGTTCACTTTCTTCATACTGATCGTTATCAACAATTATGTGAATACTCATGAAGACCGAGACATGGATCCACTTGACCTACAAAACATTTCCATGTTTTTAATATTAATATACGTTGTCAGTAAGTTATTTTACAGTATATTTAACTAACAACTAATTCAAATCTGTGGTATTTCAAGCGGTATGATGTTCAATGATAAACCAAATCAGAGAAATGAGAGAGATGCATTTTATTCGTTTTATTTGCAAAAATACAAAGATAAAAGAAGTCACAAAATATTAAAAAAAACCCAATAGGTTTCGTTTTATTTTCATCCGCAAACTAAACTTAAGTAACATTGTTTTTTGACCAGCGTTTAATTTTAAGAGGCCTATATTAAGTATTTTTACGCGAAAAATAAAACATATAGTCCTAAAACATTGCCTAAACTAGAAACGATCAAATTAGGGGATATTTAATTTTCTAGGTCTATCAATTTAAGTTATATATAGAACAGGAGTGGGTTGATTAAAAGCCGCTCCCAAACTTTTACGTTTCCAATATGCTTGCAAAAAATGCACTGTTTTTATACAGCTTTACGCGCTCAGTTTTAATATTACTTTAAACAGAAAGGGGTTTTCTAGCCAAAGATGGAGGCGGGACAATGGACTGTATTTTTACATTTTTCGCAGGCTGTGAATAACTGCTATCAGGCTGCCCCAACTGTGATAGTAATTTATAACGGCAAAAACGTTCATGTTTTAATTTGAGACAGTCTTTAGTGTGCCTACCAGCGGGACGAGATGTCTTCCTCAAAATGTCCAAGGCTCCTTAGAATGAAAATTATAGTCTGTCTTGTAAATAGAGACACACAATTCTGACAAACCGTTAATAGAATTTCTGTAGTTGAGTAAGTAACTCATCCAATTCCCCAGAAATTTGTCGATTTACAGGGTTTGAAATTAATGATGTAAACCAATTTTCATTGCTTACCATTAATTTAGACACAATGTTATGAATTATTAAATGTACTGGCAGGC